GAAAATTTGAAAATGAAACACTAACAGCTGGGGGAATTAGCTGTTAAACACTACATATAAGACTAAAACATTTGAAATCTGGACAGAATTTCAGTCTTGCACCTTGTATCTTGTTTTATTAAGCATCATGATTGTACGACTAGTATTGCTGTACAAACTCACATGGTGCAATTATTATGGTGCATTGTGTTATTTCCAGTCTTTTTTCTTTTGAACCCTGTAATATGATTACAAAGACCCTCAGAATATAGGTGGTGTAAGTTATTCCTCTTGACAATTATTGCAGACTCCTTTTTCTACTGCTATTGGATAGTGATCACAGACTTACTGGGAGTACCACAAAGGCTGAGTGCAATACACTTTGCATTATTGTCATTATGCAGGTTTTATTTTTCTCTAACATTATTTTATCTGTACTAACAGAAGGTTGGATCCAAAATACTAATTCTGTTGTGGGAAAACTGTTTTCATTGGAAGAATGGAATCTTGAGATCCAACTCATTGGTTCTACCCATTTCTCCTTTCAAGCTTTTTATCATTGTATTTATTTATACACACAGCTCCCGTTTACCAAACACAGTATATGCTCCATGGAAATTGTTCATTAGGCGAGCATTTGCATAACGAGTACACAAGACAGCTTTTATGTGTTGTTGCCATCAATAAATACACTCTAGCACCAATATTAAATTAATAAATTTGGTATTCTATAAGTTTAAAATTGGTAAATGGAATTTCAAAGTATACTTATAATAAAATTAATCCATTTTGGCATAGGTATTCTCATAGCTGCAGGCTGCAATTCTGTCCCCATCCATTAGGGTTTAAAGAGATTGGTGAGATTGAAAGTTATTGGGAACCATGACTATGTATAAGGGGAAACTGGATATATATGGGATTAGAACTGTTGCTGAATTAGTCAGTCATTGAAGGAAAATGGAAGCCCTACCCAAACCACTTGAATGTTTAAAAGCTTAACAAATATCCATAACAACGAGTGTATTATTGCAAAAGCAGTAATGCAATAAATACACGGGCAACACATACTTTTGAAATCTAGTTCAACCCCCTGCCTTCCCAATGCTGATGAAAAAAACCCTGTTGTGTCTAATACATTGGAAAAAATGTGCAAGAACAGTTCATCCATATATAATTGTAATCCATGTAGGTCGGTGAGGCCAACAGAAGAGTGATTTGCTGAATAATTACAAGCTGACAAGCAAAAGCTTAGCGATAGGCTTTGTCTCCCATATCCATTTTACCATAGACTTTTAAAAGGAGCAGGAAATATGGAAACAAATGTGAAGGATCCCTATGAAAAGTCTTCTTTCATTTGTCCTCTTTGTGATCTTTAATGACTTATCATGGATCCAACTTAGTTAGATATCAAAGGTTATTTGGTCAAAGACTGGTTTCTGAAAAGAAACATAACAGAATTCTAAGAAAGAAATTTTTAAGAAAGAAAAAAGGCATCTTTCTTTTATATCCATATAATATGCAGGATGTAAAGGAAAAATGAGTCATGTACTACAAAAACATAGGGCCTCTGCTCTTGCTTGCAAAAAAGCAAACAAACCTATGAATGGAAGTGCTGAAAGTCAGCAAGTTGCTCAATTTGTCGAAACAGAAGCTTTGTGGAAATGTTAAATAATTCATTATGCCTGCTAACAAAACTCAACAAAAATTATTTCAGGGTGCTAGATTTCCTGGCAAACAAACCAGCTTTTATGTTCATGTACAATGTTTCTTTAGTTTCCTTTGTTAATAAAGGTGAAATGAGATGCACGACTACAAACTAAAATCAGAAAAGCCAGTAGAAATAAGCTGATTTATCCAATGATTAGGAAGAATACTAAAATAGTTATCACTGGAGTCAGTGAACTTATATGTTTAGAAAACCAAGAAAAAATTGAATAGAGATTCTTGCCCCTTCTATCTGGGGTGAGATAACTATAAAGGATTGATGATCCATCATATAATCATTTCTTCTTCTTTTTTTAAAGTAACAATTTCTTTACACAAACTGACAAGTGAAAATATTCCATTTGAAGGAACAGGCTTCAAAGTGCTAAATTTCTGATTCAGACAAGGTCAGGACCTCTGGCTTTTTAAGCTCAGTATTGAAGAACAATATTAAAGCACAGTTAGCCTACCAATGGTGCAGTGCTCGCCATTCCAGCCTTGGCTGCATTCACACTTCCCATCTTTACATGTTCCATGTTCAGCACACCGAGGGTGACATGCTCTCTGACTGCAGGATGGGCCAGTCCAGCCTTCTTCACAACGACAAGTTCCACCCATGCAGACGCCATGTGTGCCACAGTCAACAGAACAGATTTCTGCATCAGAAATAAACAGCAGGAGATAGGACGATGGGGTGGGGGTGGGGTGGAGAAAGAACACAATAATTAGCCAAATTCCTGATCCAACCTGATCACAGAGGAAGGCAAACCCTTTGAAAATGTAAAAGCATTTTCAGGAAGCTCTCAAGAGGATGGGGAATCTACATCTTAGCTAATGCTCTATTAGTTGCCCAGGAGATTTAGTGATGTCTATCTACCACAGCTTTTCTTCAGTTAGCTTTGAGTATTTTAAAATTAGATTTCCTAATCACATATATCTCAAGACTCACCTGTTTTGAGGATTTATGTAATATTCTTACTAAGCATTGAGATCATATGCACTGAAAACTAATAGTAGCTACAGCAGAAAATCTTGCTTTAACCCACAGAAAATAAAGATACAACAATATCATGTTAATGTTTTGATTCTACCAGTGTTAAGCCTGAAGTCTTCCAACAAGGGAGTAAAAACAGCTATTCCTTTTGTCTATTTCCGTTCTATGATCTCCAGCACTTTTGTTCCTGAAATTGTAAGTCTAATGTATTATTTCATGTAACCTTGAAATTAAGTGTTTCATTCTTGAAATCCTCATGATTGTTGAAATAAAGGGCACTGAGATAAAGCTCTTTCCTACTCTCTGCCCTATTGTGGCAACTTAATGTAACTACACTCCCAAGTCCACAAGTAAGGATAGTTATTGTGTGGAATATCAACACAAGATGGATGAATTTTGTATGTGTGTGTCTATCCTTGAGCCCAAAATATCTTGTGTTCTGATTGGGTAGTTTTGGCATAGGCATTGGGAGTGAATCCAGAACTATCCAACCTGACTGCTGGATGACTGATTGGCAGGGTCACCTCTGGGTTAAGGATCACCCTATGACCTACATCTGGACATCTGGACACAAGCACTGCCCCTAGGACCCATCTAACACAGTACCCTGATCCACTGGAGTGGGGTCTGGGACTCCCAATCTCTTTCCTGCTTAGACTAAGGATCCAACCCAATGCCCTAACTGCCAGATTAGTTGTGACAACTGTTATGTGGTAGGCAAAAACCCCCAGACAGTATCAACTAACCAGTTTAACCCATTATTTATAGCAGGGGTGGGCAAACTTTTTTATGTGGAGGATATCCTCAGGGGTAATCTGTTGGAGACCACATGCAAGCGGTGGGTAGGGTTGGGACAAAAATGGATGAAGCCACCTGTTTTTTCTTTCACTCTGTTTGCCATGTTCTCCCACTCTGCCATCCTCATTCCTCCCATTATCTCCATCCTTGTTACCTGCATGACATTAGGCCAAGCGCCACATGAAATTAGGGGAAAGGCCGCATGTGGGAGGTAGGCTGGTCACTTTTCATCTACAGTATTCAGTTCCTTATTTGTCGTCTTGTGAAAATGCACTGTGATTGCTAAAATAATAAAGTGTTTTTTAAGCTACATAAAACACTTTATTCTCAAGCTGAATACAAGGTGTGAAATAATACTCCAGTCTATTACAGTTTGCATTCATCTCTCCTTCTTTTCTTTGAGGGAATAGTTTTCTGTGGCGCTAATATGAGGAGGAAAAACATAGCTTAAGGGATATAGTTTAAGACTCTTAGAACAAAGCTGGCACAGCCATAAGATGTTTCATAAGCATATTATATGACTTCTGTCTCCTGAAAGAAAGAAACAGCAGAAAAAGCAATTCTGGAAACAAAGATCAGAAATTATTTTGTGATAGATATTGAAATAGGAATGTAATAATAAAAAAGCTGAAAAGGATCCTTCCCCTGAGACGTCATTGCTGTATCTCAAAGAGCTGTAGAACATTAAACATACTATCAAGACTTGTGACACATTTTATGTGCTAGAAGGTGTGGGAGCCAAGAGAGTTTCTCATATAATCTTTTTATATCTACTTTGAACTAAATGTTGTATTTATTTATTATGAGATCTTGGATGGATTAACTTCAAAACTTCAAAATATCAACCCTGCTCTGGGAAGAAAAGGTTTATTTCAGAGGCCCCACCTTTTGTCTTCCATATAATCAATTTTTCATTAGAGTGGAGGTGTTTATCAGCTTCTAGCACACTTGCTTTAAGCAAGGTGCGTCAGTCTTTGTAATGAACTTATTAATTAGAGTTAATTTAACTGAAGAGGAATTGGAGGGCTAATTAATGGATAAACTGCTGATGAAGACAGAGGAAAGCAAAGTTGATTTTGAACGCCCCCCCCCCCCCCGCCGCCGCTAAACCTTTGGGTGGAGCAAAACAACTTTTACTTTTCCTCTTAGAATCTAACCAAAACATTTTTTTAATTAGGAACATGTATATACTGATTAAAGGTAAAGGGACCCCTAACCGTTAGGCCCAGTCATGGGCGACTCTGGGGTTGCGGTGCTCATCTCGCTTTATTGGCCAAGGGAGCCAGTGTACAGCTTCCGGGTCATGTGGCCAGCATGACTAAGCCGCTACTGGCGAACCAGAGCTGCGCACGGAAACGCTGTTTACCTTCCCACCGGAGCGGTACCTTTTTATCTACTTGCACTTTGACGTGCTTTCAAACTGCTAGGTTGGCAGGAGCAGGGACCGAGCAATGGGAGCTCACCCCGTTGTGGGGATTCGAACCACCAACCTTCTGATCGGCAAGTCCCAGGCTCTGTGGTTTAACCCACAGCGCCACCCGCGTCCCTTTTATACTGATTATCTACAGGTTATCTGAAACATTTGGAGAATAAGGTGCAAAGTAATTAATCTATAAGTTTCAATGGTTCTGGAGCACAATCAGCTCTCTAGCCACCCACTCACCACCACCACCAGCCCTGGAATACTGCCCTGGCTGCTCCTCCACGAGCACCACCATTCCACGGACACTGCATCACCCTGGCTTGCCAGTCTGCTGCTCTTTCCACACCATTCTACTGCAATCCTAGCTGTTCATTCTTCTCTCTTCCTCCCACCTCCACCCCTCCCTTACTAGGCAGTGCTAAGAATGGAAAAGGTCATGTTTCCTTCCATTATTACTTAACATGTGGAAGTTGGGCAGCCAGTGAGTGGAACAGTGATGCTCCAACCATACCCACCATGTTCAACCCCCTTCCAACACCTCCAAACCTGTAGGGCCCCAGAGTCATTTGGGGGGAAACGATGATGGTCAGTGAGGCTGTAGCTTCACCGTACCTGGTTATGAAAAGATGATTTAAAAGAAAAGAAAGGAATGTTGTGGGGACTAATGTCAGCCTAGTTATTCTCAGGGGTGTTGACCCTTGGCCTGTTTGCCACTGCACTGCTACCCTCAGCTTCTGTCACTCTCTGGCAGCCATGCCACCAACACTCCTGCAGCCAGGCTGTAGGGCCTACCAAAGAATAGTGCCATTGTAGGACCCTAGTGGCATTACTGTTTGGTAAACTCAGCAGTCACCATCTGGTGGGAGAATAAATGGTACTTGGTTGTATATGAATGGATATATATATATAAATTGGCTAAGCCAGAAAATAAACATTAAGCATCATAAGGTGCTACCACTGACTTACAGCGACATCACAAGGTACAATATTAATGTTATTATAGTGCTGCAGGCTGGTACCTCAGCAAAAAGACTGCACTACCATCTTTTGAGTGAAGAAGAAATTTGCAGAGGTTTCTTTAACAGAAAACCTTCAAGTCTATGCAGAATGTGAGGCACTTTTGTACATCTGGTCAGGCATACATGACGCGAACTTGGCTCACTCCCATATTAATAAATGAAATGATTTTACTGATGATTTGTTAATTATTCTATATGATTTGAGTTGCAATTGTAATGTTATTGTTACTTATTGTTTGTCAGCTGCTTTGCGACTCATGTGGGTAAAAAGCGGCGTGGAAATATATGAATGAAATGAAATTAATCAAGTGTTGGTGGTGGCAATCTGCTATCACTGTATGGCCAATTTCAGTTAAGTATTCCTACATGTTTTTTGCTTGCATTGCTTATAGCCTTTAGCTACACTGGGACCTAAATATAATATCATTCTAGAATATTGCCCAATATTAACAGTTAAAGCAAACAGGTTTCTTTTTTTAAAAAAGTCCTTACCATTGGAGCAGTCAGGACCAGTCCAATTAGGGTCACAAGTGCATGTGCCACTTTCTTGAAGATACGTGCCATGGCCAGAGCACTGGTCTGGACACATAGTCTTCAGAATTTCACAGTTGTTACCACCCCATCCTGGATTACAGTGGCACTCTCCATGGATGCACACACCATGATTTGAACAGGCTGGATCTAAACAATCAGCTGAAACAGGAAGACAGTTTTGCATCTATGAGTTCTATCGTTATTTCCCATGAATTAGGCTACAGTATATTCATTCTTACACATGAGTAAAGAAGCACAACGATTCAGTGATCTGTATAATGCTCCTATTAGGCTCTGAAAAAGAAGAGAGTACAAAGCAGAAGAAACCTTCAATTCCTCGCTATGCTCCTTTTACTTTAACTACAAGTTAACAGAACGCAGCAGCAAAAATCAATAGAGGTACACGCTTTAATCATCAGAAGGTCTAGAGAAAGACCCGGCTGTAATTGTGGCAGGGGCTGCAGAACAGGGCTTACTAACACAAAATGATTATTATTTTAGCTCTCATTAAAAAAAAGCATGCTTCAAATCATAAAGGCAAGCAAACAAAACAGAACGCAACAGGCTGCCATCCTAACCCCACTGACCAACTTAATTCATGGAACTTATATCTAAGTAGACATGGCTAGAATTGCAGCCTTAGAAGTTAGAATTCCCCTTTACATTCCCAATATATGTGCCTACATATTTTCTAAAACCTGCAAGTTCCATGCCTAACTAGCCAACAAGCCAGATGCCCATGGGAAGCCTGAAAGCAGCTGCCGACTGCAACTGTACTCTTCCCACTTGTGATTTCCAGCAATGGGAATTTAGAGGCAACTTGTCTCTGATAGTGGAGGAAGAACATAAACATTATGGCTAGTGGCCTTATCCTCATGAATTTTTCTAATCCTCTTTTAAAGCCATCCAAGTTGGTGACCACCACTTCTTGTGAAAGCTAATTCCATAGTTTAACTTTGTGCTGTTTCTGTTCTTTTTTTTTAACAGATATTTATTAGAATTTTACAAAATGAAAAAAGAAAAAAGAAAAATACAAAATAAAAATAGATAAAGAACAATTCCATCTTTCCATCACTTTCTTTCATTTGCTTATTTCCCGAACCTCCTCACACCTCCCTTTTTGTATTCCAGTTCAATTTGTTAGTTCAGCAAATCCTTCCCCTTTGTGTTTATCCTAATCTTTAATCTTAAAATAATGTGTAACATTAACTTTTGACTGTTAATACCCCGTTTTTTTCATACTCCTTATAGCGTTATAGCTAAAAACCACATAAGTTTCATCCAACATCATTTTAACATTCATTAATTTTACAGTATTTCTGTAAGTAATCTTTAAATTTCTTCCAATCTTCTTCCACTGTGCTGTTTCTGTTCTTAATAGTTCAACATTCAGCTACACTGGTTATCTACAAGGTCTAGTGTTCTGAGAGAGGGAGATGCAAAATTTTATACACCTCTATCATGTCTTCTCTTACTATGTGTCAGGACTGGTCGTTGTCCTCTTCAGATCACCACACAAACGCTTCTTGTTCTTTTATAACTTTTTATTGTGTATTAACAAAACAATCTTATAAACGGTTCTTAACTTTAACTATTATTCCTCAGAGTCACTTATTTCAGATACCTTCTGAGCTCTGGTTCTCCGTGACCAGCCACTCTCAAAATGTCGAATGCGCCCTTCCTTTTGCTTTCCCGCTCTTTTTTCTAACCTCCTCACTAGAGCTGACTTGTATCTCCCCTCCTCTGAATCTGAGCTAGAACTTAACCCTTGCCTTTCCTGGGAACATCCTGTCCCTCCCTGTTGTTTTCCTGTTGGGGAAAACATTCTCCCTCTGGGAAAATGGAAACTTCTAACTCTTCCCTGACACTATGGCTGCTTAGTTTGTTCCAAAATTTAAACCTTGTTGAGAATAGGCCTTTCACTGTTCTAGCATAGAGATGTGCATGTGCATACTATATACAGATTTGGTCATTAGCTAAAAAGGAAGAATACTCTTTATGAATTAATCTTCTGAGTTATACCAGGGCAGAGTGAAGATGGCTTTATTGCAATATTCAGAACAAAGGAAACAGGTTTGAAATCATCTGAAGGTAGCTACTGAAATGAATACAAGTTAGGGGAAGTTCTGTTGCCCAAAGACCATGTATATGAATAGACTGTCTTAGTGGACTCTGCTATTGCTGTGTTGTGACAGCTGTGTACCACCATCAGCCTGTTTAGGAAATAAATGACTTGCATACCCTCTATCTTTCTTAATTCACTTTAATGTGCTTTAGTTGACGAGATTTAATTTAGCAATTTGACTCAATAAAACGTTACACTTGTAGGGTCAATGGTCTGAAAATTTAATTCCAGAGACTTAATTGTATTACTTTGTATGTGCAGATCAATAAAATCAATCTGATTGAGAATGGAAACGTGTGGGTTTTTTTCCATCTGAAAAAAATATCAGCACAGAGGAAAGGCTATCATAATTATTTACACCACCACAACAGAAAAACTCTGTACAGTTTTTCAACGTGAAGGATTTGAATTAGCACTTTCAGGAATGTAGTTTATGTAGGAGATTTTCAGTACATGCAATTTCTTCTACTATGTGAAAATACTGAGTCTTTTGTCAAACTATCTTTTTTCTTTCCTACCTCATCTTAGCTCAGTGATGTAACAAAGAAGATCAAGCTCACAAGCTAAGAGATTAAAATGTATTTACACATTCAATAGTTAAGGAAACTAAAGTCTACAGTCCAAGAAAGATTTTCTAAATCCTATGTTTAATATGCTTGAAAGATTCTGAATGTGAATGATATGCATATAAAAGAGATGTTTTCATTAAATCTAAAATGTGCTAGCATCTGCATTTATTTGGTATTATATTTAGGGCCTAGAACATAATAGTGTAGCAAAGCACTTCTGAAGAATTACAGTCAAATCCTAAGTAAATGTTTATATATTTACCTTCCTCACAGTTTTCTCCTTTGTATCCAGAGTTGCAGGCACAAGAGCCCATGATGCAAATCCCACGACCTCCGCATTGAGGGTCAATGCACTGGGTGGTAGGCACATCACACTCTGTCCCTTTCCAGCCACTGTAGCAAAGACAGCGTCCTTTGGAGTACTGCCCATTGCCACTGCACAATACTGGGCAGGCTGCTGTGAAATAAAACATGACAGAAGACTTAACGCAATTCTTTTCAATCAAGCTTTAGAAGCAGAGGAACATCTAGACAACAAGTTGTACTTCAGTTTCTTTTTCTTGCTGCTCTAGTAACTACTTGTATTTCTGTTCTGTATTTGTATTGACTTAAGAAAGGAATTCAATTTATATACCTCTTGAACAATCAGGGCCCAGAAATCCAGCAAAACAATGGCATGATCCTGATACACACTCTCCGTTTCCATGGCAATTGCGGGGGCATTCCACCACAGACTCTGAAAGGAACCGTAAGAAGAGAAATTCTAATACCCTGCAATCACAGCAGTTAGCAAAAACAGAAGAGAACTCTTATTTAAATCACTTGTAAATGATAGCAAATTAAGACACTTTTAGGAGTGTGAGTGCTTAGCTTGTTTACTGCCTTTGAGAATGTAAATAGAGCTTAATTCATTTGAATTACTTGTAGAATGTTAAAGCAGTAACTTCTAACAAAATTCTATTTTAATAGAATTATTACAAGATCTTTATACTTTGATACCAGAGCATAACAACATGTCATAAATATTTTATACACTTCAGGTAAGTCAGATTTTGACACAACTGTGTTCCATCAAAACAGATTTCCTGCAAAATACTCAAGATTGCCCAACAAAGAAGAAAATATTAGAGAATAGTTCAGCTTGCAACTTTTGTAAACAAACACAGTGAATGCAATTCTTACCTATGACAATTGTATTAAAAGACACTTGTTCTGCATTTTTCCCATCATTATAAAAAGCCAGATGCCAGATCCCAGCATCCAAATACTGGATGAAACCTGCTTCATGAAGACTGACAGACCTTGCCTGTCTACCTGCTCTCTCTGCCTCAAGAAGGTTGCGCTGTTCCTTTGCAATCAACCGGCTACCATCCAAAAGTTCCACAAAGTCATACTGCAAGGGGAAATTGCACAAAATGTATATATTATCCATCTATGTAGTGTTACATTGATTACAGCCTTTTAAAAGTTCCTAAATTAAAGCTTCAGTGCCTGAAGTATTTTCAACAGTTAATCTTTGAAGTAGTGTAGTGTGGAACACACAGTTCCTGTGTCAGCTTCCGTAATATGCTGCTTGCATGCCAACATCCTGACCTGTATGCTACCAGGAGTACATTTTCATGGCTGTACTCAGTCACAGAGACAGATGATTTTATATCCTTTGCTAAAGGAAAGCCAACAAGATTAACTTTTGCACACAACTAGCAGTATAAGAATAGTCACCTAGAGGTAACCACATGATGATGGTAGCAATCAATGGCAGTCGATCCCCCTACAACTCAGTGACTCATTATTTTATTTATTTCTGCTTAAGAACATAACAGAAAAGCTACAAATAGAGACACTGATAATGGAAAACACTATATCAGCTTTAAGAGATAACATAGCTGTCAAAAGCACTATGTTTTATTAACAGCAACAAATAGGTTATCAGAGGCTTAGACAGAACAGTATTAAATATGCCAAAATTAGAGAAAATCTTTAGTTGCTGTGTGCATTACTTCCTATTTTACACTCCAAATTAGGGAAAACTAGGTCAAGTTCTGGTGAAAGGTAAAGGCTAATAGGGTGAACTGGGAAATCTCTTCTTAGCCTGAACCCAGCTACTATCCTCAGACTCAGCATCCTATCAGCAATGGGAATAATAATAATACTGATCTATGCTAAAGGGTTGTTGCATGGAGTTACTATACAAGAAGCACTGTGAAATCTCAAAAAGTGAGCATCAATCAATCAGCAAAATTATTATGATTTATTACTATATCCTAAGTACCTCAAATTCCCAGCACTGAAGCAATCACAGCTAAAATTTATTATTTTGTACTCATCCAGTAAATACGTTGCCCAGTTCTGACCACTCTGAAGTGGTGTTTGCCCATAATTTTATTTCTACACTGAATGTTTATTATATATGTACAACCACTGTTTATTATGGATGTACAACCACTAAAGCAGCTCACCATGTAGGAAGGGTTGCATTGCTTGCATCCTGGCAATGCTTATGATCACTGCTGCTTCCCTGGAGGAGGAGAAGCAAAGTGATGATGAGGTTGGGGTGCACCGGGAAAGCGAATCTGGCAGTCCCGTTGTGCACCTGCACAGCTCCAATAGTGCTGCCTCTCCTGCTCCCCTTCTTGGCAAGCTCCACCAAGACGCTTCTGAACGACTTCTATAAAAACTGGCACTCTTCTTTCATACTCACCACTCAACTACGTTCTATTTAAGTAAGTGTATAAAATCACTAATTCATCCAAGCCAGTTATAAAGCCAGTTATTGTTCCTTGAACTGTGACAATCATACTGTCATCTACTGATTTCAGAATGAGCCTCTGAAATTAAACTGAAATGCTTTGACCCTTTAATTGAATTAATTGGATATCCTTGTTTACTCGGAAGAAACCTGGTGTTTCTAGAAGGCTGCTTTGCAAGGTGTGTGTTTAATCATTGGGAAAGTCATCATTATGTCCTCCCGATATTGCCAGACTACAACTTCCAATCACAACAATACAAACAAAATGCGTAGGCTAATAATATAAAATATATAATAGAATAATGATATCATTCAAATTATAGGAGTAAGGCAATCAAAGTTCATATGTACAATATAACAGAGTGGTAGTGAGGACCATCAAGCTATGTGTTCAAAACAGATGTCTAAGGACAGTCTCACAATAGTCTTTCAGAAGTTTCAACAGAAGACATCTCAAAAGTTTCAAAAGTAAAGTCTCTCAATGGTCTTTCAAAAGTTGCAACGGAAAGACTATAATTTGAATTATATCATTATTCTATTATATATTTTCTACTAACTATTAGCCTATGTGCTGTGTTTGTATTGTTGTGGTTGGTTCTTATTGAAACACAGGGGTTTGTTTTTGGTTCATTGTTGTTCCAAGACTACAACTTCCAACATCCCTAAACCTTGGCCATGGTGGCTGCGGTTAAGGCGAGTTGTAGTCCAGTAATACCTGGAGGGCAACAAGTTGGCTGCCCCATTCAATCGCTGAATGCATTAGAAGCACCTGCTACACATTACTTTTCACCTGTTCCTCAGCAAACATATAACAGTAGTTAACTTGGGTAGTATGGGAAGTAGCCAGTATTTCAACTGAGGGCCACAGAAACACAACCTTAACACAGAAGCAACTTGTGTAAAATTACCAAATGTTAAGTATGTGATAAAGTGCAAACTGCTCCTTTTCTTTCATACTGACAGTTGGCTTAAAAATCCTTCTCCTTAATCATAGTATTTCTTTCAAGGATCCATGCCCTGAGTCCTAATTATTGTTGTTAACCAACTTTTCCATGTGGAAGTTACAGTGTGAAAAGAAAGCAACTAGCCCTGGATTTAAATAAATAAATAAATAAATAAATAAGTAGGAATCTAAAATATTTTTTCCCAAGATTTTCACCTCCTAGGTTAATCTCCTTATATTTGTTGGGTATATGTATATGGATCTCTCACACTTATTCATTTTTAGTTTAAGCTAACAAAGTCATTTGTTATTTCTTAAAGTCTCTTTAAATAAACTTATTGATTGGCTGGTTGCAATTTTAAGAATGTGTCACAAAAGACTTGCAGACTACCATTGATTGTTTTTGAACGGACAGCCACTATCAATTACTTCTGGTTGATTTATTTATGATACCTGAGAAAACAGAGCTGTGCAACCCAGACTGTTCTGACACAGGCAGAGAGCACAATAGGCTCTACCACATCTGGGGATAAAGTTGCAAAACTGGGAAAATGTGGCAAAATATAATTTCTAATGATACGGTCTGAAAAGGTGCAGTAATTGCCACGAAAGGATACTTAGAATACAAACTAATAAATAATTATGATTTTTTTTAAAAAAAGGAAAGCTGATTCAGCCAGGAAAAATGATAAAATAGATTAACCACATGCATTTAGTAAAAAGTGATAATGGCGTAAGACATCCAGACTCCTCACTGGTTTTTCCTCGCAGATGGATTTTCATGGGTGTAAACCAAGACAAAATCTGGACAAAAGAGTGTGGAAGTATTAACAGAACAATTCAACATACCTTTCTCTGAGGAAGACTTTTACTACTCTCTGCTTTCAAATATCCACCCATAGCCTATCCAGAGAAAAGGGATTTAAAGGTCCTGGCAAAAAAGTATGTGTGTTTGTGTGACCAAAAGGCCATTTAACGTATTATAATAGTGGAGGGCCCAAAGAAGAGAGAAGATCGAACCCTAGATTTCATCACTCTATCTTCCTTTTGGATTAGGCTCAGATCCTTCCTGAGCTGAAGCAAACATGAAATATCAATTCTGTATTTTACTTCCTCATGCTTAGAAAATTTTTGGGGTAGTCAGCTCCATAGGAAGCAATGTCCTTCACGTCCTGTACATATGCTGTCACCATGTACAGCAATGTCCAGTCCTGTCAAGAGTAGTGTGTAACAATACTCTTATTTACCACTGTCCCTAGACTCTGCTGGGAGTGTGTCATATATCCCATGTTCCACAGCATCTTTGGACACTGCTCCACATGCTCTCAGTTGCATCCTGCTAGGCTAGGAACCATGGGAGCTAAAAAAGACCCTGTCTCATTATTTCAAGGGAAAGGCTATAGAGGAAAGAGAGGGCTCAGGAAAATCTGGAGGGCCTTGATTTCACACTGATTTCATGCTGTTGGCAAAGCATATGAGGATCATCTGCTGGGTCTGGATCAGAAACAAGTTAGACATGTGTGCCTGTATCTGGATTCTTTCATGAACCCTGGCACTTCAAGCAACTAATCTGTCATTCTGGCCCTATATGTCAGTTATAAAAACCCATTTATCACCCTATAAGACAGGCTGAGGCCCATAAGTATTGAGTGCCCACACTCTTTCTATCATGCCTATATCTTTTAGTGCTCCTTTAGTGCTAACACTTGTTTCGCTCCCTCTCTCCAAACAGTTTTCAAGTCCTATTTTCCTTCTCCCATGTATTCTTCATTTGTCTCTTTCAGCAGTCTCACTTCAAACCATGGCTCTGTCATCAACCCACATACAAAGTACTTTTCAGGAGTAGTTTCATGTTCAGTAGCTGGTGGCTCAATGAACTGCTTACCTTATCCTTGCCCCCCCCTTTTAGTGACACCTCCATAGTTGCTGAGCTTGCAGCCCAGGTACTTCTGTCAGGGAACCTATCACAATTGGGTCAATGGGAACCTTGCTTCAGCATTTTAACCATTAATTTATTAGCAAGGATACAGTGGCACAAGTGATTTCTTTATGTACAGCCCCAGCTAAATTACAGATTTCTAACTGGGTCTACAAAGTGACCCATTTGGGGGGGAAACCAAGCATTACATTTCTTTTTACTGTACTTATGATGCCCAATAAAAGTGATTTGAAAAGACTTCCATGTGTGGTTGAGATAAAATGTCCAAATTGCATTTTAAAAGGCTACTTATAGAATAATAGCTAGTGTCCTCATTATCAGCTTAACACACAATATGGAATACAGACAGTGAAACTATTCAAAAGGAATTACTGAAATCCAAAGTAATAAAGTATTTTCAAATATGCAGTTATTGTTTTTAATGAAAGCAAGATTTAGTATTTGAAAACAGCTCTTACTTGAGTATGCGAGGGTGGTAAGCCTTTTCGGCCATATACTCCAATCAATGCATCTTTCTGAAGGGAGATATTGAATTTTAGAAACTGTGGCTGATCAATGAAGACCTGTGACCTCCAGAAGATCCCAGGAGGAACCTCTTGTGTTGCTCTTCGGCCTATATCAAGTTCTCCAGAATCTATAGTATTGTTTTCTTGTGCAAATCCTCCTAATTTTCCTGAGAGATTAAAAAAATATATTAAGACATCAAATATTTGCTTTCAGTTATCCTTTAAATAAGCAGTCAAATATTTAGACTAGTTTCAACTGAAATATTACTTGAGAATCATTCAGAGAATGTTAACGATCCTAGGGAATTCACTGAAGAGCTAACAACACAAGGGCAGCTTACATAAATACCTTCAAAGTCAAAATCCCACAACTTCCCCAAGGTATATTGTTAAGGCAAGTGTTGTAGGACATACTCTCATTCTGATCACTCTTAACCTAATTATTCTGCAAAATATGTATCTTGTTAAGTAGGATTAACTCTGGTGCTTATCATTCTGTCTAAACACAACAGTATGGTTGCAAGTGAAAATTAAGATGAAATGGAGTATACAGCTTTGCAGATAAATTCTCATGTAAACAGGTAGCAAAACAATCATTGGGATTGATAAGTACAATTTTACGCTACATTAGGTAGTACGGCATTCATTTACACACTAGGAATGCTCTGTGAAGTATTCTTTCAAAGCGTATTCATTTATGCGAAAAATAATTCAAACTCTGTCTATTTAAATTAGTTACATAACGTGCACACGCAAAGACACAAAGTCAGCCAAATTTTGGAAAAAAATGGGATTTCCTGCTTTCAATATATGATGAGATATCTCTTGAAACAACATACTTTGAGCATATGAAAATATGATTATTATGCCTCATCCTTCTATTTTAACCACAGAACATTACAATCTATAACCTACTCAAGTGAAGCATCAGTGTTAATTGTGTTATATATATCATTCTCTAGATAGTGCATATTCCTTAAAACATTTCAATAAATTTGGTTTCTGTACAAAAATATAGTCTCTCATCATTGAAACTCTTCTTTAAAATTAGCTGCCATGCAACATATGTAAAGCTTTCCCCATTCTGCAGCTGCACCTATACTGTCAGCTATTACTAATACCTCTACTCTTTTTTTCTACCTTTAAATTGCTTAGCACAGTGCTATTGATAAATGGTGCAGGGTGCTTTCAGAAAGGTAGATAAAACAAGCTTTGAATTTTCTGCATCTCTAAATTGGGTGAAAAGCAACGTTTGAGCAAAACCTACATTTGATTTTCAAAATCCCCTCTTCTGCTTTCTGTAGTGCTTTAATAACACCAACAAGGGGTGACTTAAAAGTGTAGCATCACCTGTGAAAACTATTAATGGAGCATACATATGTCAGAGGTATTGGCATAATGAAAGTATCTTTTAAAATATGTTGTAAGAACATTTCATCATTTTTTTTTACATAATGGCATTAAAAGATGCTGTAAACATAGGACAAGATCAAATAAAGCAAAAGATGCTAGCTGCTATGTATTTTGAATACTGTACTTCCCAAGTTTAGATTAGGTATGAGTGTCTAAGTCTGCTCACCTCTCTTGGTGTGGCGGCGTTGCTGGTTGGAAGAGGCTTCACTGGGTCCCTGACCGTGGAATTCAAATGGCAGAGCCCTTCCTGATAGGCGGAGGGGGCATATGCCCCTGTTGCTTATCAGGAGCTGGATCTTAGCTTGCACCCTGCATTGGCAAATGGGGATGCAGGCTGGGACGTGGGCTGTGCCAGGAGTCGAAGCCAATGGTAGGCTTCCCTTGGATCCGCCCCCTCACCGAGGGCACAGCCTGTTTGTTCCTGCGCCAGGTTTTCCCCCATCCCACCCACCCATGGTTTACGCTGATAGGCAATGACTTTGCTGTGGCTATGGTGGTCGCCGTTCTTTACGAGGATGGGTAGGAATTTGCCCACCAGGCTAATTGGCACTGATTCAGTGGTTTTGCCTACCCCATAGCAATTCGTCACAACTGGTTCAGCACTGGGGCAATCCCTTGTTTTAGATGGAAGGGAGGTTGTGGTCCCCACCTGCCCCTCCAAATGCTGAGGTATCCCATTAAAGGGATCCGGGGGGCGTGGCCATGTCCATGTGCCCAGGGCCAAAGGCACTCCCCCAGACGGCGGTCCCTGTGGGGGTCACCCTATTTGATGTAAGTCTTAGGAACCCCTGCCTGGACTGACCACGCGTTACTTCCGGCGGGCGGGCCAGAAGTATTTAGATTGCCCCATGCCCAAGCCAAACCTCTTTCATTGAACTTTATTCAATAAAGTTGTGGCCTGTTTTTACCCAAAACCCAGTCTGATTATTTATATGGGTTCAATTGAAGTATCAAAATGCTGACTCAGAGGCCAGACAAAATATCAGGATAGATTACATACACTTGTCCAAGAATTTTATCAGAAACCTGCATATTGAAGAGGCATTTTTCTCTCTCTTCAATTTGATACAAGACAAAAAGAAAAACCACTTTTGCGATTTTCACAGGAAACAGGTTGAGGGGGGACTCTCATAAATGTTACAGCTGGAACTGAAGATGGGCTAGTCCAAAGTGCCATACTAAATAATACCCATTCCCTGTGGGATTGCAGCAGTGGATGCGACTCAGCATGGCCGTCGCAGGGGGAGCGACTCTTCCTCAGCTTCAGCGTGATGGGAGGGGGTGTTTTCTGTTTCTTGCATTGCACTGAGTGCTGGAAAACACTCACAAGGCTGCAGGAGTCAATTAGTAACATGCAGCAGGCAGCATTGGGTTGGATCCTTAGTTCAGGTGGGTGGTGGGCCCACACCCTGCGGCAAAGGGGTATTCTTTTAAATCACTTGTGGTATTGCTGAATACCAATACTGTCTCACATTCTTCCAAAACGGTACTTATAAAAAAGAGAGAAAGCAACAATAAATTAATCAGTATCTCTTTTGTTACTAGTGTATGTCTCTTCTCTTTGTAGATGTTTTGTCAGTCCAGCTGAAGCTTGCTAGTGTAGTCCACTGAAGTGTGCCTGTAGTCATTGTTTTAAGTGTTAAGTAATACACACTGAGAAAACTATTGCCTACACATATGGGTCTTGAACTGACTGTGACTATTCAAGTAGAGATTTTGAGGTCATACTGGAAAGGTCAATTAAACCATGAAGTTAGTGCGCTGCAAAAATGGAAAATATATGTGCATTATTAAGGTTTATTTGGAAAGGGTTCACGGACTGGTGCTGTACAGGAGTGGGTAGCTAAAGCACCAGGGAGGATGTATAATGTGCTTTTTCACAAAAGGTTTAAAATTGCTAGTGGGGGGCGAGGACAGAGAAAAGAGGAAAAAAATAGACTTAAAAAATTGCAGAGAGAATGAATAGTTGGGATATCAGAAACCTGTAAAGTAGGAAAACATAGGTTCTTCAACCAAAATTGACAGGCAGCAGCTTTACTATACACAAAAGTTCTACAACAAAGGGTGCTATAGACAAAACAGCTGAACAGAATGTTTCTGCACAAATTGAGCTGTTTAAAGTCCCCTCCAGACCTTTGTGCTAAGCATGTGAAGGTCAGGAAGAGGAAGGAAATCTGGCCTGCAGGGCGCATTGAACCAGGGATAGTCCAAAACTCATTTAGTCTTCCCATGATCAGATGAAAACCAACAAAGGAGCTCATGTTTTGGGTTAATGCTGATGATAAAGTGGGGACAGTGGGAGAAGAGGGAACATGTGATCTGACAGTCCATATATTTTTATACACTGGGCTCATTTCATGTAGAAGGGACCTGCAATAATTTCATTTTGTGCCTTAAAGTGTGTTGTCATAAAATGTAAAACAAAATATTGGTGCTAGGCTTCCTGATAAGCAAAATCTTGTCCCCTAACCCATATGGAAAGTACAGCCAGTAACAACTACTCTAGGTATTTGTATTAACATTCCTATATGATTGTTAAAAACAAATTGTTTAAAAGGCTACATTTTCAAATTCTCCTCAGCCCATATTTCAGTGCTCCATAATTTTATTAAGAAACACACACACACACACACACACACACACACACACAGCATACATACATAAATCTGTACTTTACTGTATTTAAATATTTACTTAACAACATGAACAATTTTTTTTTCTTAAGGATGTACAAAATCAAGACACAACTATGACAATGTTTATTTAGCAAATAGGTAGGCTAAAGTTTAAACAAATCAATAAAAGTAATTATTAATTTAATAATACAAAATGAATTTGGTATAATTTACCAAGACATTAAAAGATTAACAATGCCTGCTGCAGAGCATAGTTTAATATAATTTCAAGCTTTCAGTGATCATGGGAAGCTTTAAAGGGTATCAAGGAGTAAGATTAAATTTATAGCCAATCAATAGCACACCATCCAATTGCATAACATAACCTTGGAATCATACCACCAACTGTGAGATAGCTGAGACAATTCTTTCAAAAACAACTAGCATCATTTCCTAGCACATTTGGTTAGAGTAACTGCAGCTCAAAATAGTTAAAAACAAGAAAGGTTCTTGTATAAAAATCAATAAACAATCTCATCAGGAGATCATTTAATCAGAATGAAGTATTTCAAACAATATATCAAATATTTTAAATAGCGTGGGATGGCATTTTTAATCTCGTCTTTTGCTATTTTTCAGTGTCTTAAGGTATACAACTTCAGCAAATGATCCTTGAGTACATCAAACGACAAATAAATTATTTACATGAAGATTATGCTAATCAGCATTTTATTTTTAATATAAAAGAGTAGTTGAAGAAAAACCATCATCTAGAACAGAATAAGCTTGGCTTTTCTCAAACTGTTTTCTTAATTGTAATCAATATTTTAAATTAACCCACTGACGTTTACAGGGATATTTATTTGAGAACCTAATTTACTTTTCAAACATTTATTGAAATTTCTCAAACTCCCATGGAAGCATGCACAGTAAATGTAACATTAGCTAGCAGAGTTCACCCTCTAAGTGAGAGAGAGCTCAATTACACTGTACCTTGTTAAATAGATGGTCTGTTTTTCACAGTGTAATTACTCACATAGGGAAAGTCACAAAATAATTAGGGAGGAATGTTTAGACAATGTGTAATTCTTTTACGTGTAAGAATTTTTGACATGCAGCACTTATTAAGTAATTACTAG